CGTAGTGTTTCTTGACATTAGGGCTGCCTTCGATTCGTTGGATAGGACTGTTCTCTGGGATTGTCTATTGAAGAAGGGTGTGCCTGAGAAGTTTATTAACATCCTAAAAGCCCTGTATAAAAACACCTCAGGCAGAGTGAGGGCATACAACCACCTCTCTCCATTGTTCCATTCGAGCAGTGGGGTTAGGCAGGGTTGCCCAATCTCACCATTCCTCTTCAACTTTGCCATCGATGACATTCTGGAAACAGCTCTGATGAATGTAAGTAATAGTGGTGTGGATCTGTTGCCTGGAGAAAGACTTCTCGACCTTGAGTATGTGGATGATATTGTCTTACTGTGCGATAATGCCCAAGGCATGCAATCCGCACTTAATTAGTTGGTGATCAATGTCCGTAGGTACGGTATGTGCTTTGCACCTTCGAAGTGCAAAGTACTTCTACAAGACTGGCAGGATTCTAATCCTGTACTCACCCTGGACGGTGAGCAGATAGACGTAGTTGAGAAGTTCGTGTATCTGGGTAGCTGCATAAGTGCTGGTGGGGATGTGAGTGATGAGATCAATGCACGAATAGTGAAAGCCAGAGCGGCTTATGCCAATCTGGGCCACCTTTGGCGCCTTCGTGATGTTAGTCTCGCTGTAAAAGGTCGGATCTACAACGCGTCGGTGAGAGCAGTTTTGCTCTATGCTTGTGAAACCTGGCCTCTCCGAGTTGGGGACGTTAGACGACTCTCTGTGTTCGATCATCGCTGTCTCCGAAGGATTGCTGACATTCAGTGGCAACACCATGTCAGTAATGCAATGGTTCGGCATCGTGTGTTCGGGCGCAGAGACGATAATTCAATTGGTGTCACCATCTTGAAACACCGACTTCGGTGGCTTGGGCATGTTCTCCGAATGTCGTCCCAGAGAATTCCACGTCGTGCATTATTTGCCGACTCTGGGACTGGTTGGAAGAAGCGGAGAGGTGGTCAGTGCATGACATGGTGTCGTGGCATGAAAGAAAGCTGCAAAGGACTGGCTTGTGTTGGTCCTTCACGACTCCCTGGCTGGGGTCCGAGAGATGGTGCTACACAGTGGCTAGAGACGTTATCAGATATGGCTCAGAATAGAAGCCAGTGGCGATTCTGCTGTAACCTTCTTTTACTTTCTTCATAAAAAGTGGTTGTGTCTCCTTTACCTGAAAGATTTCTTCTGATTGTACCTCTTCGTCATTACTCTCTCTTTCTTTTGCGTTCCTTATTTTTTTTTCTTTCTACTTCTCTTCGAATTCCCATTGTTTTGTGTGGCGCATATATATTGGCGCTCTCTTGTACCAATATTTATGTGTTCAAATAAATAAATAAATAAATCATCAATCAGTAATACTGAGTTTGTTCTCCTATGCTCATCACTCAGACTCGTATTTCCAATTTTGTGTTGAAATCACTGTCCTACTAAGATAATCGATAACATGCTAACATAGAATTTTACATTATGACTTAGTTGCTGGCATCAGACGAAAAAAGAGAACTTAGAAAAGCTTACAATATAAGATATTGTTATTAGAGTTTCTTAGCTCTACACTCTTTTTATGCATTTTTCATTCTGATAGACAAACCTTCCTTATGCTTACTTCTACTTCCCTTCCATCTTTTGAACCCATTCCACCTTGTTAGATATCATGACACATTGTTCTCTACCAAATTTATTCTCTTATCTGAAGGCTATAACAACACCTCACTTTGGCTAGTATGGGTTTTATCTACCAATTTATCATACCTTTTTATGCTCCACTAAAAATTGATAAAGTTTGTTTGGGGTTTATATCCAAATGCCTTAGTACTCCTTTGTCTCCCTTTTCAGCATTACGCCCTCAAATCCCAGCTATGAAGCTCCTCACGTTTGAAATAAACGTAACGTACACGTTTTCCAGGGTCCTAATTCATACCAAGCACTCTTAGTATTTACTTCACTAAAAATTCAGGTCGGAAAGGGATTGTCATGACCATTTTGGAGATACCATCTACTACTACAGGAACTTGAAGGTAAGCTTTTACTGACTTGAAATGACTTCCATATCTTTAAGGATAACTATCAAATTTTTTGCAACGAGGAATAACGATTTGGGGCAGTTGTTTAGTACGATTACTTATAACTTCTAGTTAGATGCTATACGTTGTGGCAATTTTTATGAATAACCATTTCAAAGTCCGGCGTGCGGTAACATTTTCCCCTTTTCACCTTCTTCATTTTCAACCGGACTGTTCTCGATAATATAGGTCATTATGTGTATGATGCGTGATGTTTATAGTTATACATCTCGATTCCGTGTTTGCTTGCTTGTCTCTAGGGACCTTGTAGGGCATTGACTTAAAGTGCTGGTTTGATGTGTTCCTGACCGTGAATAAACGTTAATTATTGCTGAAAAACTCCATGAGGAGAAACGGCTAAGTCGTTCTGTTTTTGAACCTCCGTCTGTAGGGTTTAATGAATATGTTGTGGTGTCCAAGCAAATCAGCACAAATTGTAGGAAAAGATGCATATAAGATCCAGAAGTTTCAATATATAAGGTGCTGCAAACTTAGTGTAACTACTAGAATTCCAGTATTTGGTTTAAACTCAGAACTGATTAACCAAAGTTTATTCGATGAGGCCAAACTAAGTTCTGTATAGCGTGCAAAAAGTTTTGAATGTCTCGTATTAAATTATATCAAAACACAAACTCTATGCTCAACTTGAATGGCTTTATTCCAAGAAGGAAAACAAATAATATCAAAAGTACAGAATACCTCCAACGGTACAGTCTGTTCCACACAGTAAAATGTTTCTCTAGTACAAAATATCGTGCTAAACAGCAAAAAGAATGGTTAGTCAATATGTGTTCTGTAGCTGGGAATCAACTTTTAGTAGTAACAGGGTGTTGGGTGTGAGCATCAATTCATCGTTCTCATCAGATGTCACAGGAACGATGGAATAGTTATACGACATTCTGTTACCACAAGGTAAGCTGATAAACTGTCATCGTGTAGGACTTGTTCGTTATAAGTGGCTAGCGGGATCCTTTGGACATGACTTGTCAGCTTGTACCAAACTCCTAACTAGTGCGGTGTTGAAATAGCAATGTACCTCGTATGATATTGTGAAAACGTTTATCCTATGTTTGTTCCAGACATTCATCATTTCTTAATTTAGACGTTGCCGAGACATAATAACGATCTAGAGAGATTTATAATTTCACCCTCGGTTTTTTATGCTTCCCGCTGTTCCACTGATAACCAAAGCGCAATGTACAGAGAAAGCTTATCCTCCTTCCTCGTTATTTTGACTTGGAACGACATCCATCCTAACTTGTAAGTTTTGATTGGAGCTTTAAGAAAGATAAGCCCGATGGAATTCAATTATCACAAACATGGTGAAATCTTACATTTTTCCAAATCGCTGATTGATTTTGTGTTGACGACTGCGCTGTTGCCCCGTCTTTGCTTTTCCACTGACCGAATATATTACCTTTGGCAATACTACTGGTGACTTGGCGGAGAAATAATATTCTATCTACCATTGCCTTGCCATTGTCTGAACGGCGTTATCAGAGCAGAATGCCCAACCCGTTCCCCCATATCTTCAATACACTGTACAAAGTAGGAGTGTTTTATAATTTCCTGGAATCCATTACTAAATAAGTAGCACTTTTGAAGGTGTTTCAACACCATTTTCAACTTTACTCACCTGGTGTTTTAATTAGTCTTTTCACTTATATTTGCCTCCATTGTATCAAATGTACTCGCGAGCGATGTTGTTGCGTACTTCTCGTTACTAGGATCACCAGATTTTCGTGCATGTTTTGCAGTCATACTATTCAGAAAAGTTTCGTGGAATTAAAATCGCTTGTGGACTATACAAATCGAAGAGAATTCGGTAAAACTGCATGTCACGAGCATCAGAGCGTTTCGGACAAGCTCACGGCCCAGCGATCTACTAAAGCTTTAATAGCTGACACACCAGTCAATTGTCGCTCTGTCTATCTACTTCGACTTAATTGTTCCGGCCGACTTGTTGCTGCGGCACACGGAGATCGCTCTGTTTGTGTTTATTGCGCTTCCACTGGCCGACTACTGTTAAAATGCATTGGTCATGAAAAATCTCCTTGGACACTAACTGTAAGTCATACTTTCAATAAGTACTGTTTAATTGGAACTGGGTTTTGGGTAAATGTTTCCGTGTGAAACTCTGTATTAAGAAATGGTAAGAATATGCTCGACCTCCACTTTGGGGAAGCTGCTATAGTAACATCTGTGGAAATGGTAAAAAAACCAAAACTTCCATAGATCTAGGAAGTTCCCCAAAACCTGAGGAAAACCCGAAAGTAACGAGACTGAGTGGGTTTCGTTCACCTAGTGGTTATTTCAACTCCAATATTAGAAGTGATTGATCCTGTCATGGCAACTAAATAAGCCACTGGCAGTTAAAACTAGGTCCCGTTCCTGGCTGCGTAAGGTGAATCGTTTGATTTAGCACTGCATCGAGTTTAAAAGTCAAACTTCTGTTATCCTAGTCCTTTAGACGTGAGTTTACGTAGTAGGAGCTCCTAATAGTTCTAGTGGGTTGTAACTGACCCTGTCATCGTTCTCGACTTGTGAGCTGTATTCATTGCTCGGTGATCATGTCACGTTTTAAGACACCTATATACCATGAACTGCTGGCCGCACAGCCAGTTTTATTTCTGTATTTATAGAATATCGTGGTACTTGAGGTAGTCAGTAAACTGTGTGTGGATTCTTCTCCAATTACTGTTAGAGCGGCTAGGTCTTATCACTTACTTCTACAGTACGAGGTTATCGGGCGCAGATGCATCCAGTCTTTGTGTTCTCCCAAATTCTAATATTCTGAATTGTGTACTTTTTTCTCTTTTCAAATTTATTTCACTGTATTAAACTCCTTGGATAACATCTTCAAACCCTAATCTTTCCGACTACTGCTTATACTCTTACTACCTCTACCACTATAGGATTTGAATCGACAAATGCATCTCTGTGCTAATGTGATATGGCAACTCGAATTGATGTACGCACGTACGAAGTTCTACGTTGTTACTGACTGACCAGTAATTCAGCTACATTGTCAAAACGTATAGTTTTCAAGACTTAGCTGCAATTTTACCGATGTCATGGAATAAATTAGTCGAGAACGTTGCTTCTTGCATAATTGCCCACCCTAGTCAAAGTTGAAGCAGATTTTTAAGTTCACTTGACCGCTTGGTTGGTGACTGTATCGCTCGTTTTTTGTACTACACGTTAACTCGCTACTAAGTTTATTAGACATGAGGTACTCAATTTCATCTTTTTAATTTCAATATCTTGTTCACTGTTTTCGGCTCCTAAAACTTCACATCTTACCTGAAAATCAGCTTTCATTAACTTAAGTCATAATCTTGGCAAAGCATATCCCTCTCTAAAATAGACAAATCCAACCTATTTGACTCGAGTCCGTTTTAGCAAGTCCTAAAGGTTGGGGTCATGAAAATCCACATTTCTGACAATACATCAGTGAGTCAGATAGCTGTTGCGCGCTTATTCCGCTTAAAGGGCCTAAGCACATTTTACTGCGTTATCCAGGTCTAGAAATGTGTTCACATCTAATGTTAATAAATTTAATCGTTTTTGATGGCCAGTGATGCGAGTCTGGAGAAGAGGGAAATTGATTACGAATACACTGGTCGTGAGTGCTGTTAGATGTATGAGGACGATCATCACTTCCTGGCCGCCCACACCGTGGAAGTGTTCTTCCAGAGGTACCTGAAGAGGAAATCGGGTTAGGGGTGGTCTTAGTGACCTGAGAATCTGACCGCAGTGCTCAAGGGATAACTGCTTGAAGCCGGTCACACACGACCTTTTTGTGAGTAATTTTCGTGTTAGCTCTGCACTTGTTAAGACCTTACCGCCAGAGACGGAAATCCATGGGATAATGTGAGGTGTAGATTTTTAGGGTCGACCTTTTCTAATTGTTCAAGGTAACGTGAGCTCATATTATTCATCGGAGTGACTGCCTACTAGTTGGCAACACTAAACTGTGTTGTACATTCAGATCCCAACTAACACTGATTAGAATGAACAAAGTAATATTACTGATCAATCGCAACTTAACCAGTTACACAATCCTAGATTCGGTTGTTTATTTGTGTTGGGTTATTTCTGAATTTGCAGTAAAAAGTTTTGGTCCCAAAATACTACATTTAGTTATAATCAAGCTGCCTGATACGGAATGTGGAATACAACACTTGGTTATCCCTTTATTGTTTCATACCCGATTCCCTTTATTATATTAGAGAGCAAAAACAAAAGTTGGTTCAAAATAATGAGTTCATTTTATTTCGTCAGGTTCTTATCAGCTGCTTGCAATCTATAATATTTTAAAATCAAAATTACAAATATTGGCATACTTATAAAAACGAGGGTGATTAGAGATAAATATGTATATCATGATGTAGTGGAAATTCCAACCGAGTTAGTAAGGTCATAAAGATTTTTGCTTCAAACAAATAAATAAAGCTTAAGGGAAGGAAAGTTCCAGAACACCGAACTAATGATCAGCACTTATAGAGTTAACAAACATTAGATGGTTGTGTAATAAAGTAACTGAAAACATTAATGGTAATCAAGGAAGATATGAGTTGAATTGTCAGCCATGAATTAAAGAAGAATGGCAAAGACGTATTCAAAACTTCAAGAATTGAAATAACGAACAATGCAATAAAAAGGATGTTTCAGTTTTCCTGTATTTACTTGAAACCCGAGGAACGTCTAAAAGATGACCTAGTATTTCCGTTTTAAATCCTATTACCGTGTATAAATCTCTTTTTAAATAGTTTCATCCAACACAACCCTTCTTGCTTGCGAGTGGATGCCTTGGTGGCAATGTACGGCTTTGGAATTTAGAGCATTTGGCAGTACTTGGTGATGAAAAAATCGAGGGCATTGTAGAACTATCATCTGTATGCGTTTGGAAGCACACGGGTGCAATCGCATCCCTTACTTTCCATCCAGTTCATCCCATACTAGTAGCAGCATGGTAAGAGATTCCTAAATGTTGATCTTTTAGTCTTCTTTCTGTAACTTCGTATTTACTCATTTGCAGGGGCTAATTTTCTTGTTACCTGTTTGATAGCGTCAGAACCTTAAAGCGGTATTGTTTGGTTGACTAATTTTTTCAACTGGATACAGAACTTTAGTACCCTAAGTGAAAACATTTCGCTAGTAGTGTTTGATATAAAGGCTATAAGAAACTCCTAATATTTTTACATAACATATCCTACTGAGAAAAACCCAGTTCTACCGAAATTTAGATGTTGCACTTTAGCGTTTCAGTTGCGAAAGTTCCTTTGGAAAATCATCTTAGTTAATGACAATTTAGTAGTCAATTATTTACACACCTAAATGGACTATAGTCTGTTCTCTACTCCATTCTTTAAAGTCTAGAGCACACTGTTCACGTTTATCGATGTGGCAGATTCTTAGGTGAGCCCACGAATGGAATTCGGAATATAATATCCTGTCCCCAACTAAATTCCTAGTTTTTTAATTTCTTACTCGAGTTTACTATAAATTTCTACCTTAAAGCAGCTTTTTCTTGTGACAGTTAGATTTGTGTTTAACAGAATTAATAAACTTCTTCACCTATAGGACTCAAGAAGTGGTCTTTTATGATTGGGTATCTGGCCGGATACTTTCGGCATGGCGATTTGTATCAAATCATTCACGCGTAAGATGGGTGAAATTCGCCCCTGATGGAACAGTCTTATACACAGCAACCGCCAATCCATCCAACAATGAATCAGTTTATGTACATAAGCAATCTGATCAACCAGTGGTTAGGAGCCCAACAAAAGTAGTAGCTACCAAATACCCCAAAGAACCATCTTATATCCAAGTGGATCATGGTATGTGCTCATCAACTTAACAATCGCATTATTTATCTTATCAGGTTCCACTTTGATACACTAATGTTTCGTCATAATTTCTCATTCTAAACAATCGTATTCATTGTCCTTAAAACGTAATCCTATATTGGTCGTTGCTTTTAAAACTTTCTATGATAATTAGTGTATTTTTATCTTATACTCTAACGGTTAGTGTAGTTGACACAGACTTTTGTGCAGTTATAGCTGCCGCCTTGATTTGATGTTCCGGCTTGCATTTCTCGATGACCTAATCTGGAAATTGGGACGCTTTTATCTCTAGGCCCCATCATCCCGAACAAGTTAGTTGGAAAGTAAAACTAAAAGCAGCAAATTCCTCTGAAGTAAGTTTGTACTGCGGACTGTATAAGTTTATAACAACAGCAAGGTGTTTCGCTCAGACAAACTATCTCCAACCATACAACTGAAAAAGGGATTTAAAAGCTCTACTCTATACATGACACACCACGTTTCTTCATTTTTTTTCATCTTCGGGGTTAAGTCCTTGAAAATACGGAGCTAACTCATCTGAGATTACTCGAATAAGGGCATGTGCATCCGGTTGGCTGTGTTCATGCCAGCGGGTCTCCAAGACTATTCTTAACTTTGTTTCGTCTTCAGATACCTCAAAAAGAAGTATCCTTCCACATTGTGAGCCACTGTGAAGTAGTGGACTCCTTCATAACGCTAACAGCACGCTAAATCACTGCTTTCATTATCAGACCCCACATTTATTGCCGAATACTTCTGTTTCCACTATCGTCCCTCATTTACCACTTATTCCTCATGTACAACCAGTACTAACGATTCGAGTTCACGAATTGCTATTCGAATCCCATGTCGAATTGAACAACAGTCGTCACTTACGAAGACCTTAGGATCTCGTGTCATCAAGGTATGCAGTGTCTCCTGAAACACTCATACATGATCCTAGCGTTGTCATTTACTCGACCTCACATGGGCTCCAGTATCCTGAGGGGACAAATGGCGTATGAACCATTCGTTGGTCACTGGCTACCATGAAACTGCATCTCCTCACGATGCTCCACTGCCTTGTGGATCAGACTTTTAGGTCAAAGGCTCCATGTGTGGCCCCCTAAGAAAACCACCTGCTTCGGTTTGGGCACCCGGGCAGTATCACAGCCCTCGCACAAATCAAATGAGATTTGTGTGGCGCATATGCATTTGGTGCCTCCTTGTACCAATATCTATATTTTCAAATAAATAATTAAACGACCTCACTCGGCCACTATGAGGAGCCAATAGAATATACCACATGCGCATCTAAAGACCTGACATCAATTTGTGATCTTAACCGTGTAGGTATAACGCTCTAAAAACAGAACATCGACTTCTTGATTTAGTTCATATCAATAGTTGCTTATGTGCTGATCGTTTTGATAGCATGATAAAACTTTGAAAATATGGGGGTACACCGTTGCCTCTTCATAGTTTTTGCCCATGGTCGCACTGTCTGCAGTAAAAGATGAATTTTGCGGGTAAACCTTCAGAAAGCCAGGCTCTCAGATGTGGCAATATTAGCATGTGATTTTAACGCAAAGTCTAACTGGCAGATAACCGTGACCGTTTGCTGCAATTATGCTCAAATAATTGCTTATTCCTAAGAAGTACAAACTCCAAGGATGAGAAAAGACAATCTAACCTGGTATCCCTCAACGTCAATACAATAGATATAAATAAGTGATATATCCATCGGCTCTCGTTAGAGAGACTTAATACAAGACCACTTCTACTGGAGCACATGTTCGGGCTCTTATCATGCCGTGGTAAAAGCACGCATTTTTGCGCTCTTGACCGGACGTGAATTCACAAAAAAAGACCCTCTAAATATCAATTGAAGGATGAAAAGGTCAAAATTCATTCACAAAGGGATTGGCTAAAAATCTGGTCTATTGTAGAAAAACGGTTGGTTCTGCAGATACTTGGAATAATGTTCAGGCAGTTGTAAATAAAGTATTGCATCTATCAAGTGCTCAAACCAAAGCATTTCGAAACAGGTGGTAATAACTAGAGAATTATTGAGGCTATCTAAGGAAAAAAACCTGACAATTTTGCGCCCTCAATCCAGGAGATAAGACTAATGAGCAGAACACTGTAAAGAATTGATCAAATGCCGTCCAGCTACCCTTCAGTTACCAACGAATTTCCTTAACTCTTAATGAGGTTGGGAATACTATAACTTATCAAGAGAGAGAGAAACAGATCATGATTAATTAACTCCAGTAGTGGTCCAGGTTAAGCTGCTGAACTATGGTTCTGCTCAGTTTTGTGATTCCACGCAATCCTATCTGATTAGTGACTGGAAGTGAAGTTGTTGAGTGTATTGACCATTACATTTATCTTGGAAGTCTGATCAGGCCTGAAGGGTTGCTTACTTACACCTGTTACCCCTAATGGAGGAGTATAGGCCGCTCACCAGTATTCTCCACTCAACTCTGTTCTGGGCAATCCTCTCCAGTTGCTATTCATGCTTATCATGTCTGCTTCCGATTCCCGACGCAGTGTGCTCTTTGACCTTCCACTTTTTCGTTTCCCTTCAGGATTCCAGGTTAGCGCTTGCCTGGTGATGCAGTTTGATGGTTTCCTCAACATGTCCTTATCCACTTCCAACGTTTTTTTCTAATTTCCTCTTCAGCTGGAAGTTGGTTTGTTCTCTCCCACACTAGGTTGTTGCTAATGGTATTCGGCCAACGGAAGGGTTAGGGTGTCTATATTACTCCACAATTCACTCTGTAAAACATGGACTTTGAAAGTAGAAGACTTGTGTAAGCTGCAATTTTATTAATCATAGGTGTCTTCAAAGCATTCCTGGTGATTTTTGGAACAACTTAACGAAAAATATGTAGGTTGGGCATTTGGTCATAGCTAAAATGTCAAATTGGTTGGTGAGTTTTGTTATGACTTTATGTCTGGCTTCTTATCACGTGATTTATCCACCAATCAAAATACGACTTATGCAATCTTAGCACTGCGCCAAACCAATGACGTTCGACCGATATGAGCAGCCTAGCGTCTTATTTAGTCCTATGTCTGCCTAGCCGGTCCACTTGAGTCCAGAACACAATACCATCTTCTGCAATATGAATCATTTATTTCAAGCATGCTCGGTTTATACATCAACCAGACAAACCACAACGTACCATAAAATAGAAAATAACATTTGTACAGTATTTGACCAAATGTGGCTGTGAACGTGGGAGTCAGTAGTCAATAAACTGAACATAGCTTAAGAACCGCAAATCGTACAATAACAAATTATAGGTCAAAATAAAGCTTATAATAAGAGGAATATAAATATACATAATCTAATTGTTGGATAGTTATACCATAAGAATATATATATAATATTAGTCAATTAATGTCTCAGAAGTTACTCATGATTTAATCTTCGCTCGGATATAACAAGTTTTGCAAGTCTTCATCTATTGAAGTGGTTAGAACATGTGGAGTAGGGTATATTGCATGTAATGTAACCATAATGTGTCGCCCAGTGCATCTTTCTCTTCATTTAGTTGTTATGTAAGGTATTTTGTAAACTTTATAAAATAGTTTACACTTCAGCCCAAAAAGTCGCATCATAAGAGAGTCTTTATACCACACCTTAACTTAAGAGCCACCTTGCACCATGTTGGTTTAATTGGTGGTAGGTTGAAAAGTTTAATACTTTGGTTTGTAGGTAGGTTTTATTTCAATAAAACTGTTTAAGACCCTTTAAAGTCCCAACCGAAGCTGCTACCTTGACGCGGTGGTCGGGCTTGCCTATCGTGATCACCCAACCGAGCTATATTGGCTGGAACATATGTCCCTGTAGGTTCTACCATGCCAGGCAGGTCGATTGGAGAACGGTTAGACTAAAAGCAGCAACTCAAGGTCTGAGGGCGAAGTCGTACTGCTGACTGTAGAGGGGTGTGACAGCAGTAAGGTGTTTCCCTCGGAAAATCAGCATCTGCCGCGATGCTGTCTTCCCACAAGGAGGGGTGGGGCTAGAGAAGGTCGACCCTAAAAATGTCACCTCACCTTACCTCACGGATTTCCGTCTCCGGCGGTAAGGCCCTTTGAAGAACGGAGCTAACAGATTAAAGACCTTCCACAAAAAGGCCGTGCGCGACCAGCCTCAAACAGTTGTCCCTTGGGCTCTGCGGTCACGCTCCCAGGTCATAAAGACCAACATTAATCCAACTTCCTTTTCAGGTTCCTCAAGAAATACCCTTCCACGGTGTGGGCAGCCGGGAAGTGATATCAGCCCTCATACCCGTAACAACATACGAGACCAAGTTGGTCACATTCAAATCCTTCCTACACCTCCTTATACCACTCTTATCTCCCCGGCTAACCCTTCCCACGTCCTTTCTTCACCTCGCACCGCTAGGGCAAACGATTCGAGTACGCGGAACGCTATTCCTGGTCTCCTGAAAACACGCGCTAAACTACACATAGGAGCTTTTAACGACCGAACGCTGTGCCAAATAGGACACCAGGCTTCCTTAGCTAAAACTTTAGAATCCCGCGCCATCGATGTATGCTGCGTCTCCGAAACGCGCATACAGGATCCGAGTAGCGTCATACACTTGACCTCACCATGCCGAAATAAAGAACCGACTCGATTCACACTTCGTGTATCTGGAAGCCGTGATCACATCGCTATCAGCCACCGATGGAGGGGCTCGATAGAAGACTGCCGCTCATTCTGGAGCACACGCTTAGATTCAGATCATGCTCTAGTACAAGCGCGTATCTGTCTGCGTCTTACTGGACGTAGGAAAGACGCTGCAGGGAAACCTCTTAGGGGCCTACTTAATTGATAGTCAAGCTAAGAGTATATGTCAGGAACAACTAGGAAAACAGTTAGGCAGCCATATAGTTGATGCCCACCCCGAGACAGCATGGAATGATATCCGAAAAGCTATGGAAACAGCAGTGATATCTGCTAGTACGGTAACCCGTAAGGTTAGAGAGAAACACTGGATCTGAGCAGCATCTACCGCACTTTTAGATGCTCGGAAACTCATTCCACCTGGCTCTGAACATAATGAAGAGTGGAGTCAGCTTAAGCGCAAGCTGACAAGAAGTCTACGCAATGATCGTGAACAGTGGTGGGTAGCGAAAGCAAGAGAGATGGAAAAGGCAGCGGCAATAGGTAATAGCAGACAATTGTTCAGACTTGTTAAGGAAACCGGTATTAGGAACCCGACTGTTAGCGAAACAATCTCAGAGAAAGATGGACATATTATACATTCTCAATCCAGGAGATTGGATCGATGGGCAGAACACTTTAGGGATCAGTTCAACTGGCCTTCAGCCACACTTCGGTTTCCCACGATCTCTAGTCAACCTGAATGGCAAGTTAATGTAGGTCCTCCGTCTCTTTACGAAGTTGGAAAAGCCATAGGAAATCTGAAGCGAAGGAGAGCAGCAGGCCCTTACAGGTTTACTCCTGAGATTTTTAAGGATTGTGGTTCAGTATTAGCAGTGAGATTAACTGAGGTCTTAGGTAGAATTTGGGAACTGGACGTAATCCCATCTGACTGGTCTCAATCACTGATTGTGCCAGTCTCTAAGAAAGGACAAAAGTCCTCTTGTGAAAATCACGGAGGAATCAGTTTGACAAATATAGTGTCTAAAATATTAGCTTCAATAATACTTCGACGCCTAATCAAAGCTCGTGAAGAGCAGACTAGTGGAAATCAGGCTGGTTTTCGACCTGGACGTGGTTGTATAGACCACATATTCACACTACGTCAGGTTCTAGAACACAGACACACGTTCAGACGCCCCACAATCGTAGTATTTCTCGACCTTAAAGCAGCATTCGACTCTGTTGATCGTAAGGTTCTATGGCAGTGTTGTCACTGAAAGGAGTACCAAAGAAGTACATTAACCTTATACAGGCTCTCTACTCGAACACAACTGGTAGAGTGAGAGCTTATGGCGAACTGTCATCAGAATTGATTACCTCAAGTGGTGTTCGTCAGGGCTGTCCACTCTCTCCATTCTTGTTCAACATTGTGGTCGACGTACTTTTAGAGATAACACTTTCCTCGTCTAGATTTCCAGGGGTTGAACTTCTACCAGGAGGTTCACATGTTGACTTAGAATATGCAGATGACATAGTTTTATTTGGTAAAGACGCTGACAAAATGCAGTCTTCTGACCACTGTAAGCAACAATGCAAGCATGTTCGGGATGCGATTCTCCCCCTCGAAATGCAAAATGTTGCTTCAGGATTGGGTTGCATTGACACCCGAACTAATGATAGGGAGTGAAGTAGTTGAGCATGTCGGTTGCTCCACTTATCTTGGAAGTCTCATCAGCCCTTGTGGTCTGGTGTGTGACGAAATCTCAGCACGGATACAGAAGGCTCGACTAGCTTTTGCTAACTTGCGTCATTTATGGCGTAGGCGAGATATCCGTCTATCAGCCGAAGGACGTGTTTTCTGCGCAGCAGTTCGTCCCGTCCTACTTTATGGCAGTGAAACGTGGCCGGTAAGAGTAGAGGATATTCGTAGGTTACTAGTATTTGATCATAGGTGTCTTCGAATCATTGCTCGTATATCATGGGACCATCGAGTAAGTAACGCAGTTGTTAGGAAATGGGTACTAGGTAGGGATGGCAAATCAATTGATGACGTAGTGAAACTTCATCAGTTGAGATGGCTGGGACACGTGTTACGTATGCCCAACCACCGACTGCCTCGACGTGCGATGTTCAGTGGTGTAGGTGTAGGTTGAAAGAAAGCTAGGGGCGGCCAGACCAAAACATGGCACAAGTCCATGAAGTCACTGACAAGTGGACTGAGTCATGTTGGTAGGTGTAGACTACCTGGTTGGGGACCGCGAGATGATAGCAACCGATGGTTAGAGACCCTGAATGACATGACTCAAAATCGTTTGCAATGGCGCAGGTGCATACACTCTTTGTGTTCTCCCAAATCTTGATCTCCTTGTCTCTTTTTTCTCTTCCCAAATCTATTTCACTGTATTATGCTCTTTAAATAACATCTCCAAACACTAATTTTCCTGATTACTGCTTATACTCTTATTACCTCTACCACTACGGGATTTGAATCGACCACTGCATCTGTGTGCTAATGTAGTGTGGCAACTCGAACTGATGTACGTACGTACGAAGTTCTACGTTGTTACTGACTGACTAAAGTCATAGTTAATTCTGTGATACATGTTTACGAAATCAAACTATTTATCAAAATGTAAACAATCTTTAGCCAAATATACTTGGTCTAGCCATACCTTAGATTAATGGGTAGACTCTGAGACTAGACAACGATTGCTAAGAATGTAAGGATAATAAGTGTTTAGGTGTGTTAGTGTCCCATGTTTCATACTGCGACTCATTCAAACCGGTTCTGATGTTTTTTACGAAGATTTTATCCTGATATGAGTCTAAATCAACTGATTGAACAATGGTGTAGTCTAAAAATGATTAACATGCTTGGAAGACATTATAAAAATATTCATAATGTTATAGATTTCGTATCGTACAGTCTTTAAGACTTTTTTATCTCCTGAAACGAACACAAGAAGGAGAGAACGTGAACGGGGAAACGTCTTGAATTCCGGTAGTAAAGATTAGTGTTCAAACCAGAGATAGGCACAATTGATATTACACGATATCATGGAAAACCAACACAACTTTCGACACAATGAATTAACTTGTCTTTCAGAACATGAAAATCTGAAATATAACCAATTCACCAACATTCTTACATAATGCTAAACCATTAAGAATGTATTCCACCTCACATGGATTAACATTAGCAATACAGACTTAATAAAAAGAAGCAAAACGCAGAACAAAATACAGTGCTGTTAGATGTATGAGGACGATCATCACTTCCTGGCCGCCCACACCGTGGAAGTGTTCTTCCAGAGGTACCTGAAGAGGAAATCGGGTTAGGGGTGGTCTTAGTGACCTGAGAATCTGACCGCAGTGCTCAAGGGATAACTGCTTGAAGCCGGTCACACACGACCTTTTTGTGAGTAATTTTCGTGTTAGCTCTGCACTTGTTAAGACCTTACCGCCAGAGACGGAAATCCATGGGATAATGTGAGGTGTAGATTTTTAGGGTCGACCTTTTCTAACCCCACCCTTCGTTGTGAGAAGGCAGCATCGCTGTTACGCTGGTTGCCTGAAATAAACACCTTACCGCCATCACACCTCTGTACAGTCGACAGTACGACTTTGCCTTGGGTTTGGTACTTTTATTCTTATCGCTCTTCAAACGACCTGTCTGGCATGGTGAGACCCTGAGGAACGATTGTTCTAGTTAGTATATTCCTATTGGTTCATCACAATAGGCAAGCCCGACCACCACGTCAAGGTAGCAACAACGAAATACGGCTTCTACAATAGTTTATAGTAATGACGGAAGTGACGTACACCCCGCCACCAGCTTACGCTTCTGACTGATTACTTAGATAAGTGACGGGAACGTGTGTCATATGTACTTAGTCACCGTCTACCTTGATTGACCATATAGAGCAGTGTAGGCTTATGCCATGAGAAAACTAGGGACGATCAAATCAATACTCACCATCAGTTCATGAAGTTATTGGCTACTGAATTGAGTCATGTACGTATATGCAGACTACGTGGTTGTGCTCCACTCGATGAACTCAACCAGTGATTGGAAACGGGTAACATAGCTGAAAATCGTTCACAATAACACAAACATTCATTCTTTAGCTTTTTCTCGATATTTAATCCTACCATTTCTTCATACGTACCTGCTCTGTCGTCTCATTCCATATTCCCAATGTTCAATTGTTCTCATCATTGTTACTACGCTTTTCCAATCTATTTCACAGTTCATCTTGTCATGCTAATTGATTGTGTCAATGTGGGCCAACTCATATTAGTGCCACGCTGTACCAACTGATTGGCAGGACAAAAAAATTAGTAGTTCTGAGATTAGATGTAAGGAATTAAATACACATGGTAATTTAGTTGATGAAGCTGTGGATTTTCGTTTATTGAAATGGCTGAGAAATCCTATATATACCCAGTCATCTCCACAATCACACAATGTTGTGTGGCTTGAGTTGGTTGGGAGGAAGCCAAAGATAGCTAGTTCAATGCGTATCATTAGTCCATTAAGTCGTCATTGACTCTCGTACCAAGCCATTTAATTAGATTACGAGAGTACTTCATCTTGGCCAACTCGTTAACCATGATTAATGAATGATATGGTTCAAAGTCGATCTCTGTGGTCCAGATTCATTAATTATTTTTCTTCTTCGACACTTCTAGTACCGAATTTGTTTCATACTTTTTCACTAATTTATTCCCTTCTGAACCATGTTCTTGGTGTTCTATTTATAACTATCATAGATACCACCATTTCCCCACTCTTTTGCTATACTCCATGTTAATTTTACCTATGTGAAACAAAATTGTTTCGGATTTGTGCTCGGTTTATAACTAACTGAAGCACTTAATACGAATTCTTAAAACTTTGTTTCAACAAAACGGAAAACTATGTATTTTTGTTTTTACTTATTCGTCTTTTTTGTAGATAGCGTCAATGTAACTTCCGAAGCCTCATGTGATCTCACAGTACCTCGTGATACTCTTTTAGAATATCTTGTCAATTGTTCTGATTCCTGGTTTCAAAGTCTCGGTATATGTTCCGTTTGTTCGGTTCGTTTATGTCGGTGGGCTGGAACTCTCGGACCTAAATTCCCTGCAACGACGACAGATATTCGCCTTGGGATGTCTGTGGCACAACAAGCCGCAGCTATTATGGCCACCAGTACTTCGTCCAACATGATACCATCACATGTCCAACATCTACTGAACCTGACAAATCCCAATAATCGTTCTGAAGTGTATGAGCGTCTCTGTCGCGATGCTAATCCAGCTGCCGTAGCCATAATTGAAGATATGCCAGTTCATGAATTCCTTCGCTCAAGAGGCAACTACTGTCAATCCCCATGGGTTGCAATCTCGAATAACGGTGTATGTTGTGGTGGTCATGCTTGTGATTTGGTGATTACTCATCGCGAGTTAATGCGTCATTCTTTATGTCGACCTTGCCTCTCCTCGTTTTGGTCTTGGGCTAACAAACATATTGCTTGGTGGCGTTGGTCGTTTTCTACAAATGATGAACAATCTCTAAATTCTACGTCAAATGCTAGCAGTACAGCAAATTGTGTACCAACTCCTATATCCTTTGGAGTAAGTAAATAACAGATTTGTACTTACTAACGCGTAAAAATAAGGTATTATTCCTTTTTACTCTGTAATAAAATCAAAACCAATTGCAACGTCGCCCAACCAAGCTATATGTGCAGATCATAGCTACTGATTACTAACCTTTGATGTATGCAACAACCTATACTTGGAATATACAGTCTTACTTGTCAGTTATATTAATTTAGTTTTTGCAGTTCTATACGTCAAATAAGTTCTAATAGATTTGTATTTTTAACAAAGACCCTTCGATTTATCATTTTTTAATTCGACTAGTAAAGGATAACTCAAAGTAATCTTCTAACCGCTCATTTTTATAAATACAAACTTACGTTCTTGGTCTATGGTTTTCGGGGAAAACATTGACTAGAACTGGTGTTGCAGTTAGAAATTCTAAGGAAGGTAAACATATAAGAAGCCTCTTTGATCGTGTTTTTGGCACGTCTGATTACCATGTTATTTCAGTACGTAGGATTGAGTAAGAAAGTGACTATCGACACCAAATATGACTTTAATCTGTGAAGCCATCAACATGATATAAAGAGTAGTTGAGTTCCTAGATAGATTCTTTTAGATAATGGCTATCAATGGTTGAAAATCGTCAGTTCTTTTAATTCAGGTTTAGTCACATTGGCAAAAATGGCTTTAATTTTTTTCCTTAAGTCCCAAATACTTTATTATTAGTCATTAATCTGCGTTGACATATATTATTGCTCGATTATTCTTTTTACCTTATGTATCGTCAACTGTTGTGACTTGAGCTTATCACTTGTGCAAAATTGTAGTTTCGGCTTTCTTTCAGTATTTGAGTTAGTAATATTAAATTTAGGTTGATTATTTCACAATAATATGATTAATCTGTTATAGATTTAGTTCATTGTAGCCTGTGTTTAATACCACGATTTTGGCATCATATTCATTTCATTGTTCTTAATGTTTATCCAGAAAACGAATAATGCGGAAAAGTCTTCTGATATTGAGCCTCCTGTTGGCATTTGCATCCAGTGTCAAGCTAAAATGTCCTTACAGTTACAATCATCACCCAGTGTGTCACTGACATGTAACCAATCTCCCGTTTTGTCTCATGGAGCTGGTTCTGAACTTAAGGAATCCAACGTCCTGTCAGTTAATGGAAAAACCTCTAAATCTCTCCGCTTAATGCCGCTTGCAGCTTTGGATCTTTTGCGTTCAAGGTTAAGTAATGCTCATGAAGTTACTCCAGTAACTTATGTAGCCACCGACTTAATCAACGATTTTGTTTTCAGTCAACACATCAAAAAACTGTTAATCAGTGGCAGTGATTCCGATCTCAATTTATCTCATACCCTGTGGGACTCAAATATTACTATACCTTACAATCAGGTGGGACAGATAGTCGTGTGTGCCTCTTCTTCATCTAAGGTATGTTATTTCCCATGATGACAGTTTCGGTAATTTTTGTATTTAGACTAAGGAATTTTTAAATTAAATGTTTACTAGGTTACTCATCTTTTTCTCACAAACGCACCTTTATTCGTTTGATAATAATAAAAGCAGTAGTGCAGCCAAAATATGCCTTTTTGATCTCCGTGTCTAGTGTTTTGGATATCGCTGGAGTTGTTGGTCAGCATTTTTCTCCCTTGGATCCACTAAATCTAGGTTTTAAGCTGCTGATGTCAAATATTATAATTATTTTTTGACCGTGAGGTGCGATCATTCCATCCATAGATAAGGTTTGTAAGAATATTACCATGAAAATAAACCGAAACTAAAGAAAAAGTGATCACTAAGTAAATTTGTAATATGTGTGTACCGTGCAACCTTATTGGAAATCCTTGTCTATTCATTTTGTTGCTCATACTCCATACACAAATCTCTAACCAGCTAACTATGTATCTCAGTGAAATTTCATAATTATTGTTACTAATTTTACCCCCTAATACATACCTGTATTATAACGTGATTAGTCACATTGGTTTAAATTCTGCGAATTCATATTTATGATGGGTATTTCGGTTATTACTTGTAATTGTACAAAAGTTGCTACCGAGAATATGTAACTGCTTAGATTCTCCCTAAAACAGTTGTTGCGTTGTTTCTGTAAGATTGCACCCACAAGCACATTCATCCTGGATTAAATAGTAACGTAAACTAAGCTAGTAGAAATTCGTTTTTTCTTATTGTTATCATTAAACGTAAAAGCATAGTGACGACTTAACAGCTTTCCTACCTGAGCACAACCCTGAAACTAAATAGTTCGGGCTTTGTGTCCAGCGATCCCTAAGTAATCGCTCTTGATAGATAGAAAAAGATTGTCTCGGTCATTGATAGGGTTATTTAGGGCGTAAAACATATCTATAGCAAAGGTTCGAGATATGAGCCAAGGCTTCAATGTCACTGCCAAATTCAATCGATTCATTTAACGCAAGTTGGACAAATAAAGCTCGCCCAAAAGATAGTCCAATGATAATAATTATCTAGTGGCACAAAACGTTTCTTGTGTATAGAAATTATAAGTGAGAAACTAAATGTATTGAAAAAAAATATAGTATTGTTTAAATATTGAAATCAGTGTTAATTTCTTTTATCGTTTGTTAATTTGCATGAAAAAATCTCAATTATCTAGATTTGTTTTGATGGTATAGAGGCTCCAATGCTTAAATCAGTAATACAATTTCATGACCGTTGTTGTCACTCGGCTAAAGCTTATCATTGTTTCCATCCACTGATTAGTATCCTACTCATTGACTAGCAATCAGAAATTCGCTCATCAAAAACCTTTTATAATAGTTGTTTATGATCGTACAATGTAATTTGCAGATTTTAGAATAAAAATGAAACTGCTTTATATTCCTGTACAGTCACTGAATTGCATTGATTTTGTACACAGTGGTTCGTACAGCTATGTATTATTTTCCATCTTTGTAATTATATGTTATTGATTCTATTGACTGTTTGTTAATTTTGATCTTTCAGCGTCGAAAAATGGATAATCAATTTCAGAACAAAATACTTTTTAGTCAATGTGGTAGTCAATTATCTTTTGACAATAGCTCAATTTTAAAGTCCGTGCTCATGGATTCTGATCCAAAAGATGAATTATTTGGATCTAAACTTCCGAACACTCTTCTAACGTGTAAATATCGTTTGCCGCAGGAGGCCTCTGATTTGGGCGCATACACGCGCGACAACCCTGATAACAATTGGAATTATCCACGTCCTGCTACCGTTCACTACACTTCTAGTGTCATACCTTGGATGTCATCGTCGATTTTCCCGTACGTCCAGACTGGAGCTTCTCTGTTAAGATCTCCCCGCCAACTTACCGATTCTCTTTCGGAATCCACTATTGTGGATCAAATTTCAGGGTTGTCAACTTCTAACAAAGTCTCTATGAACGAAACACAGCATGTCGACAGTTGTGAAACTGATCCATGTGAAGGTAATCCTACATTATTTTTAGTTGATGTTATTTATAAATCCCATGTTGTTCATCAAACTTCTTACCCACAAACCCTCTTGGGTATGAATAGGGATTAATATTCATACGGCGAGACTATAATTTATGGACGAAAGAATCAAATATAAGATTAAATAGCTTAAATAGCGTTTTTGGCATTTCAGATTATGTGAGATCATGATGAAAAACATAATTCTAGTTTCTCACCATAGTTTATAACCGTCATTTGGTCCTAGTTAGTATGTGGACATTCTCAAGGTCGCTTCAGCGTCGCTCAAATGTCTTCCATAAACTATGGTCTCACCATTCATACCTTATTCTCAAAGTTCTAAAGATCTCTCATTTTCGGCCCGTTTTCTGTTACTTCTACCAACTAATCTACCTTCTTCGATTAATTTTTTTCTTTACAACCACACAATACTTGCCATTTATTAGAGCAAACTTCATAATTTGGAGCTTGTAGACGCTTGTCCGTAGATGTGTGCATCGGTGGGTTTCCGAAGCAGTCATGATCTTAATAATGTGAATGTTCGCTTAGACTCAGCGAAGTCATTATTTGCTTATTTCATCACTGCGATGCTAGTTAAATTAACAAACTGTTGGGGATGCTAGATCCCCAAAACTCACTCGGGAAACGTCTTATTTTTGTAATTTATTTTGGAAATTTGGATTTCTTGTTTTCGCACCAAAAGCGCCCATTTTCACCTTCATATCGTATTTCCCACTTAAGGGGACATTAAATGTCATTGATGCGTTGTCTCTTTTGATATGTTATTTTGTAACGTTTTCAAGAATATTTTTATGCTGTATATATACGCTTCAGTTGTGCTTGTGCTTGTTCCTGTTTATGGGATACATTTTCCCTCTTCTGAACCTGGACTTCTCTCTATTGTTAGTGGGACTGAGACACATCGGATTAGTTAGCTTATTTGGTCATTGTGTCACTGAATCTTCGTTCCATTTGCCGATTTAGGTGATCTCGTAGTCTCTTCAAACATAGCACAAACCTAGACTTTTGTGACCCGTTGTACATATATAAGGTTTGGACTCTTCAAACTATTAACTTAACTTGCAGATTGTAGGTTTTAGTTTCCAGGTTAAGGCAATTACTTCTGCTACCCCTCGTGACGAAGCATAGGCCTCCCATCAGCATTCCCCATCGAATTCTATCTTGGACAATCCTTTCCATTTGCTATCCATCCTTTTCATATCTGCTTCCGATTCTCGACACAGTGTGCTTTTTGACCTTCCTCTTTTCTGTTTCCCTCTAGCATTCCGAATTAGGGCCTGCCTCGTGGTTCAGTTTGATTTCTGTAATGTATGTCCTGTCCACTTCCGTCGTTTAAGTAGTCACATGTTATATATCTATTTATTTGCCCACTACATCATTTCGTATACCATTGTTAGGTTGCTTTTTTTATCTGTAACGAAATCTTTTAGTTTCAACTAATTCTCGTACCTAAAGGTAGAAAAAACATTTCATGAGAAAATAAGAGTTACAACATTTCACAAAGGTAACTTTTCCCGTATATTTATTAAGTTACTCTGCAAGTTTTGCCAGTTCCGAACCTGCATTCTAACTTTTCAGGCGAAGTTCTCTGAGAGGCAAAAAATATGAAAAATAAAGCCTCTAAACAGATATGACAACCGAGATTTTGGATATAACAGTGTTACTTTTTTCAGTCGTGGGTACTGACTGCCAAATTATTAAGGCTCATTTGTATTTACACGATGAATTTAATAACTGCCAATTATTTTGTTTTGTCAACTTGTTTGCTTTCAGGACCCAACCGAAGTTCAATGACTGCATGTTGCCGTTGTGGCCGTATTGTTCTTCAGACATTTCCCGTTGATCCACACTCTAATATCAGTGCAGTTGTTTGTGAAAAGTTAATTTATTCTGAAAATCGGTACTTAACTCCTAGTTCCCAGAAAGCTCATGGTAACATTCATTCACAATGTTCATCTAACCAAGATCCCCATACTCCCACAAATCATCCTTCTTATCAGTTTGACTTATCGTCATTGAACTCTTGTCCGTCTGGTTCTACTTCTCTGTCTAACCGATCCAGAAACGTGGAGGCTAGAAAGTCGGAAACTGCTGAAAGATCGGTAAATGCCGTGCTTCATCTGATTGACCAAACAGGAAATAATTCTGTTTTAAATGCAGTGAATCGCAGTATAACTGAAGTTATAACAGGTCTCTTTGTTGATATGGGTGAATATGGATCCGCCTCTAGTCTTCAAGTGAGTTTTTATTAATATAGCTGGAGTGTTTTATTGTAAATTTACTTCTTCACCGACCACTGTATAACAAGAATCCCACTACCCATCACTCCAAATTCTGCTAATTAGTTATCACACAAAACTACTGCCCTAAGAATATGTAATTTTCAAGATTATTCAGATATTCAATTTAAAAAGATCAAACTTAGTAATTTGTTTGAATTCTCAAGCGATATTTATTTTTTATTTATTTATTTAAACACCTAAACATTGGTACAAGGAAGCACCAAATAGATATGCGCCACACAAGTCACTTGATTTGTGTGTGAGTTCTGATACTGCTCGGGTGCCCAAACCGAGGCAGGTGATTTTCTTAGGGAGCCATACCCCTAGCCTTGGGCCTAAAGCTCTAATCCACAAGTCAGTGAAGCAACGTCAGGGGGTGCAGTCCCATGGTAGTGAGTGGTCAACAATTGGTTCATACCCCATTTGTTCCCTTGGGATCCTGGAACCCATGTGCACAATTGGTTTGGAATCAAGGTTTCCGAATTTCTGTAGGTGGATCCTCCATATCCACCAACCTGGTTAAAGCGCCAGACCTTCGCTTTTCGTCCTCTCAATTTAGTAAACAACAGTAATGCTGCGAGAAGGCAGTGAGTAAGACTTCCCTGGCAGTGGTTGTATGCAAGTGGCCATGTCAGAGCATTTCGAGAGAGCAGACTTTCCCCGCTCTCGGTCATACCATAGCATTTGGGGGCTCTCAAGTGATATCCAAATCTACATTCGAACAAGTAAGACATACCTCAATAATTACTCTACTATATACAGTAAATCTAAAGATGAATTAGCTTAATGTATCCTTACAATGAGTTAATCTCATCTCTATACAATATACCTCTTCTTTATAAGTTTATTACATACTTCTATCTTCCCAAAGTACTGTTAACTGTTGCTAGTTTGTTATGTAACTAATCTTCCGTTCTTTTTTCCTTGACAGGATGTTACACATCGTATTTGCCGGTGGGAACTAAGTTTATGCAGTCCTATCTATAATACTCCTTATTTGTCTTCATCTGGTGAACGTGATTCAGCAAGAAGTGTGTGCTTGCCCATGCCAACCAACGTTGCTGTATCATATAACAATAATAGTCTTGTTGTTCCTCACGCTCGTTTGTTTAATGATTCATCTGTCTGTCTCTCACCAGATGGACGCCTTCTTGCTGCATTTGTTATTCCTCGAGAAACATCGTGCTATACATTACAGTCATCTCAGTCTTCCGCTTTACTCGGTACACTTCTCGCTGTGTATCGTCTGCAACCAGAGCATAACCGTGGTCAGTGTCTGTTCGCTCGCCGCTTCACCGCATCTAGTCCTGTATGTGTTGACTTCAGTCCTTTAGGAGATTTTTTGGCAGTCGGGTTAGCAACTACACGCATACCTTCAGAACCATTCTCTACCACGAGTGAGTCGTCTACACAAGAAAGTCTTTTAAGATATGGTAGTTCTTCATCGCTCCAGGACCATTCAGACCTCCGTCAGCCAAACGTGAAATGTTCGTGCCAAAGACAATCCTCTGTCGGTGAGTGTTTCGATATTATTACTCTCTACTTTGATTTTAGTGAAATCAGCATATCGGTGGAACAACATGATTCATAATTAAATAATTTTTGTCCTTTGAACAGACACATCCAGATTTTGTAAATTGTACAGTTATTTTAACAAATAGTTCCACTGTCGTGATTTAAAGGTTATTTTGTGTCATTTATTGTAATAACTGCAGACAAACTATCTGTAATTGTTACGCTCTCCACCATCTAATGTCCCCTAGATACTGTATTTCTCTCGACTTTTTGCAAACCAGAACAAGCATTGAGGGGAAACAATATATATTCCAATTAACCTGAAAACACAAAGATATAATACTAGTAAGATTATATGGAATTTACATGAGCACCTCTGTTCATTCACTAGCATTGATTGATGGGAAAACGGAGCAATCAACACATTCCGGTGTGAGTCCGATCTCAACAGGGCTAGTCAAAGTCCTATGTTGTGCAAACAATAACAATATGGTTTATCATTAGTAATTTCTAATCAAATAGGTGAAATGCATTTGTAATAAGTGTGTTTTAAAGTTTTACCCATGCATACTGAAGCCAATCTATCCTGGTTCTTCATTAACGTGGCAATAATTTTTCATTATAATCTTAAACAAGAGACGAATTCGGAATTATTACTGTATGCCACTATTTAAGGCGTGATTGGTTTCAATAACAATATCTATCATTTTACTTAGACTTCGTAGTATTATCTTGTTTCTTTTCAAATGTTTGATATCATTTACCATTTACACTATCCTGTTTATAGCCCCTATTTTGTCGTTTTTGCTTGTGCCAAATGGATTTATTAACTGACACTTATACTTATTGGAAAATCCATTTGTTTAGTAGTCTACTCTGACGGTTGCAATAAGCTTAGATTGATATGTCAGCTTTTTAAATGTACCATTGATGTTTAAAGTTAGAGTTGGGTATTGTCAACCAGATTACCTTGCATCTATAATCACAATGAATTTCAGAAATCAGCCATTAAATATTATAATTTTACCGAATCGCGTTACATTATTATGTGTGTCAATTAACTTTCAATATTAAAGATCAATCATGTTTTCACTTTAACTGTATATTAATTTACACTTCACTACCATTTATTATGAATTAAAAGTTCAGTGTTATTTTTTACATGTTTGCTCTTAGAATATGGTGATTCATGTTATGTTTTTCTTGTTACTGTGGTATTTCCTTGCATTTCTTCACCATAGCGTGCGTTTTCCACCTTCAACGTTCCAAAACACAGAAGGGTCAAATTCGTCGGAGCCTGCGTGATATTCAAAATATCAAACATCCTGCACTTTTGGATCCTGTCTCATCAAGATATCTTGAATTATCTAGTCCATCTTCAGAAAAATTAGATCGCTGGCACCGGTTATTACTTTCAGCTCAAAGTGGAATCTCTTTGAATACCATTGTTTGGAATGCCAATGGCAGCATTCTTTACGGTACTACCAAAGGTCTCATCGTAATTTCTCATGGAAATCAGTCTTCTTCCGTATCAATTCTACCACTCCGTTGTACCAAGTCACATATGCAGTCTGTGAACGACTGCGAAGTTTCTTATAGAAGAAAACACTTTATAAATCAAGCACAAACTATTACTAGTTCCTCTAACTTTTCCGTTCCTCAGTCTCGTGCTGTAATTTAAATACTGACTTTTTAAATCTATGTATATTTAGGTTTACTGTGCATTTAGTTTATCTTAATTTTTGCTCATTTTACTGGTAAACCCATCTGTAATCATATTTCTACTGGATTTAAACAAAAATAGACGCTTTATGGCGATTCCAATCCCACATTCAGAGTACCTATCTTAATTTTCTATCTGGAAACCGGTAGTGATTAAAATAAAAGTTTATTTTTTATAACTCCGTTCCATTTTTTTAAAATATTTAAGTTTATTATACTACAGTTCATATAGTGTTGTTTTCTCACTATGTAAAACAGATTTCCACTAAATCGATCATGTTTGTTTATAAACCTGCTCACTGACTATTCAGGAATTGTTTGTTCACTATATTGTACGATTTTAACTATTTTCCCACTTGCGTTTTACCAAAAGCAAAGATATTTTGTTTCATACTAATCGTTTCATTTTTGTTACGCAGAAAGTTAATATTTATGTTAGAACTTGTTATTATGTGAAAGGTTTACTTCCTTGTGTTTGTTTTCTTCTTTTGTATAATCTACCTCAGCTATGTCCCAGTGATCTTTAATGTTACTAACTCGGTTTTACTTTTATTTTGAAATTCTAACTCATTTCTTATTAAAAATATATATTTCCGGTTTGAGTTTTATCTGGTCTCTTTTTTATTCATAAACTTATTTTCTTTAACTGAGATTACAAAGTATCTATGATGAATGTGCAACACAGTGAATTCTTTTAAGTTTACGTAAACTACAAGTAACTTCAGTTATGTAGATACTTCTAGTTGTTTCCAATTGTTTTCCATCGAAGTCAGTTCTGAACCTTGTAAGTTAATCGTACCTATTGTTATATTTTCTCTCATACAACAGTGAAAAAACGGGATAAGTCACCACTCATTTATTTTATCACATATTCTTGCTAGTAGCTTTACGATTTTACAGGACATATATATCTTTTTAGCTTACTCATTTCGTTATTCTTCTATTCGACATTTTTTTATTATCATTTGATGGTGGTTAGTGCTTTCCATAAAATATCTACAGTATCCAATTTATTCATTGATCTCGGAAGCTAAAAATATCAGAAACACTTATTCGTCCTGTGTATGCTTGAACACCGATTACCACGACGCGCAATGCTAACCGGTGTTGGAGATGGTTGGAAGAAAGTTAGGGGCGGCCAAACCAAAACGTGGCATCAGTACTTGAAGTCACTAACTTCTGGTCTGAGCCATGTTGGTAGATGCAGACAACTTGGTTGGGGTCCGCGTGACTATCGTAACCAATGGTTGGAGACTCTGGGTGATATGGCTCATAATCGACCACAACGCCGTAGGTGTATACACTCTGTCTTCCCTTAAACTAAGAGATTAAAATTGCTTCATATCTTTCTATTTACCAACTGATTATTTCTTCCCGTTATACGTTCTTATATGCAATCTTTCTTTTATATAATACCACTTCTGAATTAACTACTTTTATGAATCAGGTGTCCATCTTGTTGTGTTAATGAGGTATGGCAACTTGGATCGATGCAAATATGTGCCTGGTCCTACATTGTAACTGACTGAGTTGCTAGTTATTCAGATGATCATAGGTACCCATCACGGAGTTACTCATTTCCAAAATATATATAACTTCGTAGGGGAGGTAGTCTGTTTCCTGAGATCCTATGTAGATCCATAAAATCTATAAGAATTGAACCAAGAAATCTTGACCTTAAATAACTAACGTTTGCTTGTTTTTGTCAAATAATGAATGGAATTCGTTTATGGGTTGTCGACCAAAAATTTTCAATTTTAAGTAATTTATCAGGTATGGGTTCGTATACTTTGAGCTACGCTCTAAGTGTGAGCGCTAGCAATACTATCAGGCTCCCTGAACTAAGGTAGGCAACGTGGAGTTCGGGCCTGTGACTTATTGACTGAATTGAACGCTTTAACCATTGAACCACCATCCTTGGTAATGTGCGGTGTAGTTTGCCCTTTATATTTGGGAAATAACCATGTCCATTATTGTGAAACCGCTCATATAGAAATGTACATTTCTATCGGAAACCTTTGTTAACCAAAATAGTTGTGAACCTCACTTTGCTTAACATTAGATGATGGACGTTTACATTCATTTTGGAAGGACTGAAATTACTAATATGTAGGAGCGTTTCTGAATTTAGGGATGATCTGAATTAGAGTCATTCTAAAAGTTATGGACTTTTAGTGAAAATAAAAACAGTCATTTTCTGTAAGTCTTGGAATATAAAAATAATACAATCCATTCTCATATCTGTACTCCATCTTGGCTAAGGTTTTTTCAACATGACTTTTTAAAACCGCTCATTTTACTACTTAAGTACATAAAATTCAACTAAAATAGTGTGATGTACAAAAGTGATCGTAAATTTATCGTCAACTGTATGCGATGAATCCGATATTTGAAATCGACTGATCGTTATTTGTAAATGTGACCTCAAAATGTTAACCCCGAATGACATATATATCGACCTGCTATAAGCAATTGTTGAATACATTAAACAGATCGATCTATAAACAATGAAGTTTGTAATTTGTCTCATCAGTATGATACATCTGAAGATTGGTTGTGGTTTCTGTGCGAATTTCTATTCAGTATGTAAAATGAGAAAATTAAGTATTCCTTCTAAACTATTTTCAGGTACTTCTAACTAGTTACGGTATTTATAAATAGTATTTCTAACCAAAGGGTATCTTCTGTTTTTGAGACTTACAAATACACAGCAGTGATATATATGTAGCTTGCATTTATTTGTTTTGAGTCACTCATCATCTACACAATCCTATTTGACTAATCTCGATCGCTGGTCGTTCCAGTTTATGAGAAGAGACAAATTGTCTTATGATAACCGCAAGAATCAGCTTAATCAACATGGTGTCTAAAATACTAACCTGTAATAATCCGACGCTTAACTAGGGCTCATATATAGCGAACCTGGGAAAACCAGGGTTGTTTTTGACATAAATGTGGATGTGTTGATCGAATATTTACTGTTCAGGTTTTAGAACACATGCATTTTTAACAGCTAACTAAAAATGTGTTTCTTGGCCTTAAAGTAGTATTTGATCCTGCTGATCGAGTGGTGTTGCGACAGTGTTTCTTACCGAATGCCCTCTACTCGTACACTATTATTCGATCTAGAAATTATTTCGAACTGACAAATTGGGCCGGTGGTGGGAAACAATGAGTGAAGTCACAGAAGCATTTACTCTGTCTTCCCTTGGATCTCGAGTTTGAAAATGTTTTTTCGTTCTTCTCGAACTATATTGTCTATAATAAATCTTTCTGCTACTACCGATACCATTATCTTCATAATTTCATCCCTCTATCGTGTGGCATGGTCTTGAATCACTCACGGTATACTATGCAGCAATTGTTTCTGTTCTACTTTACAGCTACGAAACGTGGCCATTAAGGGTATGGTAACTCATAGGTTACAAGTATATGCTCACAGATTTCTTAGAAATATTGCTCACATCTTCTGGGATCACCGGGTAAGTAATGGTGAGGTTAGACGCAGTGTATTAGGAAATTATGGTAAAACAGTTGATCAGGTTGTGAATCTACATCGACTGAGGTGGTCGGGTCATGTGTTGCTTATGCTTGAGCACCGATTACCACGAAGCGCAATACTGACTAGTCTTGGAGATGGCTGGGAGAAAGTTAGGGGCGTCCAAATCAGAAAGTGGCATCAGTACTTGAAGTCACTAACTTCTAGTCTGAGCCATGTTAGCAGATTCATACTACTTGGTTGGGGTACACGCGACTATTGTATCCAATGGTTGGAGACTCTTGGTGACATGGCTCATAATCGACCACAACGCCGTAGGTGTATGCACTCTTTGTCATCCCTTAATCCATGAGATTAAATTACTCTATATCTTCCTACGAACTAACCTTTTCTCCCTTTATCATATGCTCATATGAAGTGCTTTTTTCTACCATCGAACTGGCTGCTTCGATGAATTTGGTGTTCATCCTGTTGTGCTTATAAGATATGACAACTTGGACCGATGCAAATATGTACCTGGTCCTAAGTTGTAGCCGACCGACTCACCCACGGGACACGAATGAATAGTTTTTGAAGTCACAGTTTCCAAAATCCATATTTAGCTCAATGATAATTTGGAATAATTTTATTTACCAGTTGGCTTATTACTCAAAATCTGAGAATACTAGGCACTGTTTTCATTGGAGTATAAAACTTGGTGATTGAGCACTTTTAACTTAACTCAGGAAGAGGCATTAAGTTCATGTTTCGAAATGACACGACATGAAATGTTAGCAGTTAAACCCTAACCATTTCGCGATATTTACAGACTGCTATTTGTCATCATCAGTGAATGTGTTTTCTTAATCGTGACCAACTGCAACTGAACAAAAATTGGCGGAAGCTGTTTGGCGACTAATACTCAGTAGCTAGTAACCGAGTGCTGAAACATATAAGTTGTAGTTTCATTGTAATTGTTAAAACGATCCAAGTAAAATATGAAAATTACTGAAAAAATCAAGAAGGGCAAATTGATGTTATGTTCATGGGCTTAGTTTTCATATTCTAAGTATACGGATTTTAGAAGACAATATGATTGTACAAAGTATTTAATTAAGTCATTGTAAGTGGGTTATTTAACAGATAGCATGTAATTAATATGCATCAATATTTAATGATGAAGTTGAAAAGAAAAAAGAAAATTCATAACTTTCAGCTTATCAAAGTGTGATCAAGAAGAATTGATTAATGAAAGACATATCCAAGTGGGTTTGTATGCTTCTTTATTCTAAATAAAACTCAGTTATTTTCAATATTATTAATTCTGTCTACTTATTTTTCATTCTAGACACCTTTTTGTCTAGATTGTTTATTTGGATTTTTTTCTCCACAAAAAATCTCTTTCTATACTCTTCACTAAATAACTGGATAGATGAAAATGTCTATGTTCATGAGTGTATTCATCCATTCAAGAAAAAACAAATGACAAAAGATAAACATTAGAAATAGTTGACCTGACCTCATTTCATTTCTCTATCTTCTTGTCTTAGTTACACATTGATTCCTAACTATTATTTAATAAATACAATCATTTGATAATTATTAAAAATAAAATGATAAATATAGTAGAAAAGAATAATAGAAATGATATTAACAATGATAGAATGCTTGTATAATCGGTGATCAAAATGTCTGAAAGTTAAACTTTGAAAGAGAAACTGTTTAGAAGCAACCAACTTTGATTATATATTCATTCTAAGGTATATAAATATATGTACGTGTAGATGCATAGGGCAGTATTAAATTGATTTTAACCTATAACTAACATAGTAAAGGACTTTTAAAAAAGCACGAAATACTAAACAGTTTTGTTCATCTTACACTAATCATAGAATTGAGTAATAACTGTCGATCATATATAGCTTGCTTAAATAATATAGCAGTGATATCGTTTTTAGATATATGTCACTTTAGAAGCTGATGTATAGTAAATAGACACAACTGAATGGTTCATCATACAAACCTAATGAAATTGGATTTGAAGTTTGTCAACCAATTTTAAGTATAAATCAATCAACTTTAAAACATTTCATGCTCCGTATGAATGTAAATATCCCATACAGAAACATCTGACCACAAAAGAACTAAAATGTATATTTCTATGTTTTTTTCCTGAACTTAGTGATCGGATCTGAGTATGACCAATCTTTGCTGTCATATAAGCTCCTTGAACAGATTTCTTGATGTTATTTGTAATTACAGTTTGATTATATTTTGAATAACAACAGAATTTTTGTGATAAATCCCGAATAATATGAAAAGTACCTCACGAATCTTACTACTATCACTTGTACAAATCACTATAAATTTTTTCATCATATTTTAAAATAAAACTAATGGTCAAGAGTCTGTAAAAAATAAACTACTCTTATCATGGTAGAATTATTCTCTATGGATATGTACTAGACAGTTATATAATAACAAGTTTTCTCAAATCCGAATAATCCCACATAACAAATGAATTAAATT